TTGAGCAGAGACGGGGGGCGGGGGGGAGAGAGAGAGAGACACACACACACACACACACTCCCAAGCAGGCTCTTCATTGTCAGTGAGGAGCCCGATGTGGGGCTCAAGCTCATGAACCATGATATCATGAACTGAGCCCCAATCAAGAGTCAGATGCTCAACTGACTGAGCCATCCAGGCACCCCTTCTTTATGTTTTTTCACTAGAATATTTTTTCCATCTCTGCATGAATGTTACACTCTCCTAATTTATATGACTTTAATATATGTCTTGAAATCAGTTAGCAAGAGCAGATTCTTTTCCCCTTGTTCTACTTCAACAGTGCTTTGGATATTGTTTGCTATTTTTATATGCTCTAGAGTATGTTTGTCAAGTTGCATAAATAATTCTGTTGTGCTTTTTATAGGATTGCTTTGGATTAAAAGATTACTATACAAAAACTTAATCCTTATTAGTCATTTAATTCAAGAACATAATGTATCTCTCCTTTTGCTTTAGTTCTCTTAAATGTTAATCAATAAATCTTAACAGGTTTTTTCCCCCTGAGGAAGAAATTGAAAAAGTGCAACCCTACTAAGTACCTTATAATCTAAATAGCATCTTTTGGTTTGTTATATTTTCTAGTTTGCTTATTTCATTCTTTAACTGCCACATAGAAGTACAATTAATTTTTGCTTATTGATCTTTGTATCAGATTGGGCTAAATTATTCTGCAATAATAAAGAATATGAAAATTTCAAAAGAGTTCTTTAAACAATAAAAGTTTGTTTGTCACACATGCTACACGTCCAACAGGGTCAGCGGGGAGGACTCTGAGCTAGGTCTTTCTAGCCAGGAAAAGAGGTCAACATGCAACACCATCTGGACGTGGCAGGGTGAAAGAGCGAGAGAGCAAGCATAGTAAATTGCACACAGGTACTTGTGGCTACACCCTGGTAATGGCACATGTTGCTGCTCATATTTCATTAGGTAAAGCAGGTCACATGGCTACCTCTAACTTTACAAGGGGTGAAATAGCATATGCCTACAAAAAAGAGCCTCCACCCCAAATTGAGGAACAGCATTTATCATATGTACATCTCTCCAGAACTTAGGTCAAATATTTGTCTCTAGATTGTGTTATCTAGAGAGAGAGATCACATCTGATAATCATTTCAGCACTTATCTTGGTATTTATTTTCCTTATTTCCATGCACTGGCTCGTAAAATATTTAATAGAGGCAATGATAATGTGTATTCTTGTTCTACTCCTGATTTTACAGAAGTGCTAATTATCAGGAAGATGATGATAATGATGATGATTTAAGGTGTTGGTGGTTTTTGCAAATTACCTATGTCAAGTTATGCTTTTAGTTTGTTAAGGGCTCTGGTCCTAAATATAATTTTTGGTTCTAAATTAATAATCCCATTTTAAGGATTTTGGTCCCAAACAAATCACATGAATTTTTAAAATATATTTACTTAATATATTTTTTAAATATATTTTTATGGTGAATTATATTAATATATTTTTAAATTCAAATAAATTTTGTAATTCTGGAATAAGCCCAACTTGATCAGGAGATTTAATCTTTCTATACATTTCTCGATTCAATTTGCTTATGTTTTATTCAGAATATATTTTTAAATTTATGTACCTTAGTGAGAAGGGCCTATAATTTTAATTTTTCATATTTCTCTGTCTTTTTCTTTAATATGTGTATCAAAGTTATGCTAGCCTCATAAAATAGGAAATATTCTCTCTTATTCTATTTGTAAGAGTGTAAAAATCAGAATTAGTTTCATTTGGATTGTTTGTCTTCTCAAGTTGTCTTAGGTTGGGATGTTTTTAGGAATTTGTCTAATTTGTCTATGAATTCAAGTTCAATTCTTATTAAATTGCATGCAATATATTCTTATTTGTAATCATATTATATCTATAGTTTATGCCTGTATTTTCATATCCAATATTATTATACATCTATTATGTTTTCTTGATCAGTTATATCAGAAGTTCAACAATTTTAATAGTAAATCCATGGATGCTAAAAATCCAGGAATAGGGAATACCTCTTGACTTTTCCCATCAAAACCCACTCTCAGGTGTTTGAAAAACTTAGCTTATTCCCATATGCTTTTCCAGAATAAGAAGTATGAATTTACTTAGAGTTGTCTAACTAAAACACTATTATGTTCTTGACTTTTTTAAAACAAGGAAATTCTAATTCAATGTGACATGATGTTTTTACAACTAGAAAAAGAAACTGCTAGCAACTCTCTTTAGTAGATTGTAAAATGGTCACAAATTCTTTCCATTCTGTGTATGTGTTCCCCCTTGCAATGTGACTTTGCCATTCTTCCTGGAAGAATAGAGTCTATTTTGTAGCCCTTGACTCTTGGCCTGGTCATGTGACTGCTCTGGTCAAGGGGATGTTAGCAAATGTGATGCAATCAGAGACCTTACAAGTACTTGCACATGGGAACCTCCCACCTGATGTTGCTAAGAATCTTTCTGCTACTATTAGAATGAGCCTGGGGTAGACTCCCATGACCATCAAGGCAACTGCTAGATGAGAGAGCGAGGCCAAATCAGACCATCCAAACTCAGCCAAGATGACCCAAACCAGAATTACTCCGTGAATCCAAATAAATATATGGGGGGAAAAGTGTACATGGTTAGCTAAACTTTCCTCCTGTACATGCTCATTTTTTCAATACTTCTTTCTCAGGCACTAATAAAGGTGGTGGAACTGTTAGTGCCTAATTCATTTACAGGATGTGTCCTCAAGATTGATAGTACCAAATGACAAAAGTTGAGGTATATGTCAATCCATTGCCTGCCTTTGCAAATTAAAGGCAGAGTTTCTGAATGTGAAGCAGAGTCGCTAATCTTAGCTTGTCTATTTTGAGTCATGACTTCCTACTACAAAGCAGAAGTTATATGGTAGAAGAATTCTTATCCCCAGAATGGTGACCCAAAAGATACACTGAAGATGCACAATTTAAGAAGTTAGGCCTTGGATTCACAAGGTCTAAGTCCAAGCCAGACATTGAATAGCTTGTTTAAAGACATACATGCATCTTTTGTAACAGGTCTGAAAAATGCATTTGTCTAATTCACTGTATCCTATATATCTATTTCCAAATGTGTTTTCCAAAACTGTCAAGGCCTTATATATTAGCTGGCATTACATTAAAATTTGTTTTTAATGAAAGTACCCTTGTAAGATTGTAATAACCAATGAGTGAATAACGGGATATTTTAACAAAAGGTGAAGGTTTCCTCTAGAAGCACCTAGTCCTGATAAGGTTGATATATAAAAGGTTGTGGTTTCTAGCCTCTCACTGAAGAGACCATAAAGGAAATTGAAGAGATAATACTTTGGGTTTGTCTCTGGCTGCCTTATTCACAAGAAACACCAAAAACAGCTATCTCCTTTCTAAATAAACATTTCTCTGGATAGGATAACTTCTAGAAAACAGAAACACAATGAACTAGTTTTTTTCCCAAACAAGTTTTCCATTTTTAAGATAAGAATTAAGGAATAGGACTATCGGTTGCTTTGAATATTTCTCATCTAGGATGAGGTATCTCAGATAGTAGAGAAGACAGAGTTTTGAACATAATAGAAACTACATAGAATTGACATCAAACACATACTCATGAATATATCCATATTCATATCTAATTAGGCAGCTAAACAGTCAATAATCCTATTGCTTCTGTAGTTTAATTAAAATCTCTTATTTCCAAATGCAACATTTAGAGATAACATCAGCTGCTCCTCATGATGTAGAGAAACATATTTTTAGAAGAGGGTGTCCAGGGGTGAAGAAGGCAGCGACAACAAAATGGTCAACAGAAACTTACATCCATGGACCAAGCTATGAGGGCATCAATATATTAAGGTTTAGAATCCCATTTTGTTTCCCAGAAAGGAGAAAGAGCACTGGAAAAGACTCCTTGTGGTACTGTATTAGTGGCAGATCATTTTGACTCCCTGATTAAATGGACTGAGGTGTAAGCGGTAAAGGGGAGGGGCTAAAAGGAGATTATGGGATAAGGTGTCCTGCTACTTTAAAATTATGCATGCCTGGCCCCATCCAGGTCCCTCCCACTGCTTCAAGCACCTGCTGAAAGCCTGGGGAGCTCAGTTCCCGGCAGGCCATCAAGCCGACTGCGCTCTGAGTTTCAGGTAACCAAGTGTTTGCCGTGCAGAATACTTTACTCGGGCACCCACGTCTTCCTTGCAGAATTCCTGCTGGTGTGGCCTATTTGCTAAGAGTAAACCCGGGGGTTACCGCAGCGTTGCCAGGCAACGAGGGACAGCAGTCCTGTGAAGAGCCATTTGTCACACTGAGGGGACTGGTTCAAATGCAATAAAGAGATGGTAATTCAGCTTATTTATCAATACAATTGCTTACACAGTATTAGGGGTCCATATTTAACCTACAAATACATAGTCATATGAGGAAACAGGAACACAAGTGTTTGCTAAATACTAAGGCATAGGACAGACAGATGGTGTTGGGTTTCTAATCAGCTTTACTGTGAGCTTAAAGTTGCTGCACATGCTGGGTTGGGGGAAAGGCCCAAAGCGCTTTGCCAGCTTTATTTCGGACATCTGTAAGATAGCTGTGTGCTACAGCATAAGGTGCACGTCTAAAGAAAATCTATGCAATTCCTTACCTTGTTAGGTAGATAGTACTAATTCTCTGGGGGTAGAGTAGCACGCTTAAATTGCTGTGTGGTGAAATATATTCACAAAACTGTATATCTGTATATAACTATATACAGGAAACTGGTTGTCCTGTGGACTTTTAAAGTGTCTGATTTGCCCAATACAATGCTTACCCAAAGAGTAAGTAATCTCTTCTAGACAACGTGCTTCGAAATGTTTTTTCCCTTTGAGAAGTTCAGTAACGTTTCTTATCCGGGGCTCAAAGTCCTAGTGCTTGGGATGAACTTAAATTTTAAAGATACAGCAGCTTTTCCTTGACACTTTGTTTTTGGTTCCCAGACACCAGCTGCTACTCATGTCTTCACCATTGCTAAGAACGTCTGTGGTATTACCTCAGTGTGAAAACGTGTCTGCAGTTTCCCGAAAATGGAGAACCTCAACGTTACTTACAGCACCTTGCTTTAAAGTGTTGCTGGCAGGCGGCTTTGGCCTTATTTATTTAGGAATGCTTTATCAGGAGGAGAATGCTTTTTTGTGAACATGAGTCGCTTGGCTCTTTCACCGGGCTTCCGCTTCTTGCCTCAAGTCATTGAAACATTGATCTTTGCATATTTCGCCGCCATCTCTTTGGCTGACTCACAGGGTCTTTTCCCAAGGTTGGAGAACGTGGGAGCCTTCAAGAATGTTTCCATTGTGCCAACCCAAGCAACATGTGGACTCCCAGACCGAAGCACGTTTTGTCATAGTGCTACCGATGCCGCGAGTCTTCAGTTCTGCACCCAGCGGATTTGCATTCAGGACTGTCCTCACAGGTCTTCCCCGCCCAGCCACACGGCCCTGTTCTCGGCAGGTCTTGGGGGTTGCATCGCGGTAGACAAGCATGATCTGTGTCCCAACGCTCCTAGCAACGCCACAAGTTTTATTTTTGGAAACCACAAGAATTGCTTTTCTTCTCCTCCTTCTCCAAGGCTGGCAGCATCATTTACTCTAGCTGTGTGGCTGAAACCTGAGAAGGAAGGTGTAATGTAAGTAGTAGAGGGAGTGTAAGCTTCCCTAGGGTCCTGAGCCATGGGAGTGAAGACCATTGCCGCACGAATCCTTAAACTAGAAATGAAGGCGAGCCCTGGAATTCATGCAGTTGAAGATCAGCTGCTATGGTCGTCTTCCTGTTTAAGTTTACATTCCAGATATTTTTTTCCCCAAATTTAAAATTGTTTCTCCTTTCCATGGATGAAGCGAGCCCTCAAAAAAGACTACGTTAAAATAGCTTCCTTGCAGACGGACACATTTACATGTGCCTCATGTATTCTCTGGTCGTTTAGCAAAACCTTTGGTCTTAGCTTTCAGAGGCTCAGCCAGGTTTTGCGGTGTACGGGCTAGTAGTAAGAATAATTGATATTTCCTAAATCTTGATCTAGGTTTTTATAAACAACCTGCTCCAACTAGAGTATAAAATTTTCATCAGGCAGATGCTCTCTAAGGGCTTAGAACTGTGTTTTATTCATCCTTGTTTTCCTAGGAAGAGCTGTTTTTTTGACTCATGGAAGATGCTCAATAAGATGAGTTGAATAAATGAATCATCCTCTAACTCTGAAGAGAGATAGCTTTTTGCCCTTTGCCTTCTGGAATTTTCTGTTAGGAAATATATATAGATAAGCATAAAAGAGTCCCAATAGCTTTTATGTCATTGATCCCAGTAGAAATCCCTTCGGTGCGTTTGTAATGGGGCTTCCTTGGCATCATTTTTTTGTTTATATAATCACTTGGTTTTCATCCTGTAGTATATCCTAAACTGACATCTAATGCGTTTTCCCTAAGTATTTAGAGCCGATCTGATCTGGAGATCTGAATAAGTGAGGAAGTGTTGAGGCATTTTTTGCTTATCTTTTGTCTTCCTGTAGAGCTCTTGGCTCTCCCCCTGTGACAGTTTCTTTGTTTGAGAATGTTGGCCAAATATCTAAAAACTTGTGAAACAAACCAGAAAAGTCTTATAATCTCATAAGCAAATATGACTTAAATGTTGTTGGTGTTTAGTTGTAATTTGCCAAGTGAAGGTTGGCATTTTTATTCATTTGGAGTGAAAATGATCACAAACCATTATCTCTATTTCTGTATCGTCTCTAAAAGAAAACCCTGTTTTCTTACTGTTTGAAATGTCAGGAAATCCAAGCTACTCAGTTTATGTAAAGAATATCCAAATAATTGTAGACAAATATGGCTGGGAAAAACTATTTTTTCCAAGTCCCCATCCCCCAGGAGATCTGTCTCTACCAAGTTCTTCTCCTATTGGTATCATTTAGTATAAATAAGACAGAATGGTATTGATAGAGTCAGTAGCGCATGGTTTACGGTCTGGAGAGTTCCATGCATCAAGGTCGTTTTCATTCTCAAAACTAAAATAACTATGGGAATTGGGGGAATTTCGGGGGTGTTTGCACTAGATAAGTAAAACAAACAAAACATGGATTATCCAATTATTGTTTATCCAGGAGCAGAATAAATCCAGTTCCTAAATATTTTGTTACCTGCCTTCCTTTCACATTCATTATCTACCAAAGCTAGTATGTTTACAAGCAAACAAAATAGCAAGGAAGATAATCAATAACATATTAAGAAATGCATTTTCAGTAAGCTTGGGAAAATAAGCCTGCATTTGGCAAATACATTCTTGAGTAATGGTCAAATTTTAACTTGTTGGCTTAAACTCAAGTCAAACGAATACAGGCAAACTCTTCTTATACTTTAGAGACCTTATGGCAGGGAGTAAAGAGAAAACTCTTCTCATCCCAGTGATTTAAAAATATCCACCTACCAAAGGGTTAAAAAATATCACAGTAAAATTTCTATCAAGCCATATCTCTACTTAATGTAAACTGTTTATGCCAATCTATTTGGCTGTTAAAAAAATCTACTTGTTCTCATAACTTTATCATCAGATACATGTACACAGTCTAGGAAGACAAGTGACAGTGAAATAGTAACTGCTAAGTGTTCTCAAATCTTATTCTTCCCTCTCAACTCCAGAAAACAATAAATGCAAGTGAGAAGCAATAATTTGTGGAAAATGTGACCTGAAAGGAAAGTTTTAAGACATCTTTAGGAATAATTTTTGGTGGGGCACCTGGGTGGCTCAGTCTGTTAAGCATCCGACTTCAATTCAGGTCATGATTTCATGGTTCATGGGTTCGAGTCCCACGTCAGGCTCTGTGCTGAGAGCCAGCTCAGAGCCTGGAGCCTGTTTCAGATTCTGTATCTCCCTCTCTCTCTGACCCTCCCCTGCTCACACTGTCTCTCTCTCTCTCTCAGAAATAAATAAAACATTAAAAAAATTTTAAAAAAGGAATAAATCTTGGTTCTTCCCATCTTCTTTGCTTCTTTGATGCTTCTTCCTGATTTGGTCATTGACACATCATTTCTTGAGGGTCTGCTCTAGATCAGGCTCTGCTTCGTTCTCAGAAAACTCATGAGCTAATGGGAAGACAGATGGATCAGTGTAATTACTTTAAAAAATGTTTATTTTCAGAGAGAGAGAGAGAGAGCATGTGCACACATGCACAAGTTGGTGAGGGACAGAGAGTGAGGGAGAGAGAGAGAATCCCAAGCAGGCTCTACCACTGTCTGTGCAGAGCCCAATGCAGGGCTCAAACTCATGAACAGTTTGATCATGATCTGAACTGAAGTCAAGAGCTGGATGCTTAACTGACTGAGCCACTCAGGTGCCCCAGATTAGTGTCATTACTGAGGCAGCACAGTGTGTTAAGTGAATACCAGGGAAGAACCCTGTAAGCAATCTTGAGCTTGGACGAAGAGTTCCAGGATCAGACATAATCATGGAGATGCTGAGCTGAGTAGGAGGCAACTGGGTGAAGAAAGGGAGCCTGACTCTTCTAAGACCTGATGAAATTCTCCTCCCTGGGATGTGCCGCCTTGTTGAGTTCTTGTCTGTGACATGTAGGATCATGAGCATCTTTAAGAGCTAGTCATTTGGGGAGATGTTAATGGCTAATGTCAGGGATATTCATCTTTAAATAGCAGATCTTTGGGAATAATCCACTCAGGAGGCTACAAGCAAGCATTTATAGTATTCTGCTAAAAATTTGAGTTGCTACACTGTGATAGAGAGGAATGAGCTTAAATACATATCTGTTTCTGCTCAGTGGGAACAGAGTAGCTGGTTGGATGCAATGATATTACTAACTTAAAATAATTTATATTAAACATAAATTAACATAGAAAATAAATATTTATAAAAACACGATTTTTCTATTTAAAGGGATGGGGAAAGTGTGGCCACTGTGATAAGGAGAGAAGTCATTTTTGAAAAATAATTGGATAATTGGCCTGACAGAAAACCTAGAAAATTCTTGAAGATTCTTCTATTTTATTAAAATACGATTTCACAGTGTTTCTTTAAAAGGTTATATGACCTTTCATCCAAGGTCATCAATGTTATCTCAGTGTCTCAGGTGGGCTGTGTGGCCATGGAGAGCTAGCTGGTCCTCTTACAGACGCTGGCTTTGGCTTCTGGCCAGTCAATGATGAAGTAAGAAGAGATTGTAGTTGTCCATTCTCCATTTCATCATGGGAATTAAAGAGAGCACTTCCGACTTCAGGGCTAGCAGTTTAGAGTCTTCTATGGACACTAAATTCTCTTTACGTTAAAAAAAAGGTTTGCACTGGTGACTCAATACCCAAGCCAGATATAGTGTAGTGTGCCGCTTCCTATAAAAGAAATAGCAGAAGACTAATGAGGCAATAGGCTAAATGTTGGTTTTTCAGGATGACTCAACCACTGTCGTTTCCATCATTAATCTCTAATAAAGGGTATTGAGGTTCTGGGGAATATACTGTAAATAAAAATTCCATTTTTTAATTGAAGCGAAAGGGCTTCTTAACTGGAGTAAAACTTGGCTGTGCATGGACTGGCGTTCAGGCACTTATTCACCGTGCCCCTTCTGAGTGGGGTTTTCATGCCCCTAACTGCACAATTGCCTTAGCATGTCTTTTGGTTGCATGCTGACCTTTTCTCTTTTCTGGTTGCTTCCTAAGGTGTGTTATAGAAAAGACGGTGGATGGGCAGATTGTGTTCAAACTTACAATATCTGAGAAAGAGACCATGTTTTATTATCGCACAGTAAATGGTTTGCAGCCTCCAATAAAAGTAATGACACTGGGGAGAATTCTTGTGAAGAAATGGATTCATCTTAGTGTGCAGGTGAGTAAAATAAAAAATATTTAACATTTGGTTAAACACGAGGATACCTCTTCCATTCTTTCCTTACATGGCATTTCCCTTCAAGATCGGAAGCAGTGTTTTTAGATTTCATGTACGTGTAGATGACAACGAGAGAAAAATAACATTTAAATGACCTAATGATGTACCGCTTGATAGTCTAACATTTCCTCCCTCACCACTGCTGTGAAAACTCCCACAGAAGCTTAGGACAGTGCTCTTTGGGATGATAACAACCTCAGGAAGTGTTTGTTTTATTTGGTTAGTATATTTTGCTAAAAAATGTGGAAGGGCTCTTTCAGTGCCTAGTACTAATTTTACTGGTCATGACAGCATTAACCTCCCTCTGCCTGGTTTCTACAGCTGTCTTTCGCAGATAGCATCTGATGATGTGAGTGAAATTTGGCTGTTACATTAAAATGCTGACCTTAGAACTAATGAACTTTACACTTCAGACACTCAGAAAGTGTTATGTTATATTACTTCAATCGTCAGCCACAGTTTGTTTTAGCATTAGAAGCTGTGAAAGGCTGAGAGAACTGTGAGTTTTCTGGTATTTTACAGTTCCTGGGCATGCAGACAGAGTGTATGCTTTTTTCTTTCTTTTTTTTTTTTCCCCATCAGGATACTGGAATGGGATGTTGTACCCAAAAGTCACTATTGCCTTTCATACCAGAGGTCCGATGTCTGTAGTCCCAATTCCTTGTGCTCACAGACATGGCCAAATAGTGGTTTGTGCAAACCCCATTCATACTGGAGAATAATTGTACCCTTATTCTTTTTTTTAAGTTTATTTATTGGGGGGGGGGAACATGAGCAGGAGAGGGAGCAGAGAGAAAGGGAGAGAGAGAATCCCAAGGAGCATTTGTGCTGTCATCTTGCAGCCTGACATGGGGCTTGATACCCTGAATCATTAAATCATCACCTGAGTGCAGACCAGGAGTCAGATGCTTAACCAACCAGCATCCCATACCCTCACTGTTTTTATTGAAATAATCTTTGATTTCTCATACTGTTCTTGCAACCTGAAGCAGTTGGCAAGTAGACTTCCTTAGAGGGCCTTGAAAATTGTTACCTGGCTTTTAAAGTTGATTTCAGCACAGATATCATTCTTGAGGATTTAAATACACTTTGTTATACATCTTTGTTTTGCCTGATTATAGCTGTGAAGTTCTATCATGCCTTCACATAGTAGTACATTAAAGGCAAAAGCCTTAGGAAGAAAATGTATCATATAAATGCAAAGAGGCAATAATGATTGGTTATTACTTTGTCAATACCTTCCTATAGAAACCAATCTGTGTTTCGCCTTATCTACTCTGCTTTTACTTAGGATATGGGTTTATCAAATGCAGTTGGCAGGGAGTAACATTTCCATAGCACTAGGGTTTGAAGGGTAAGCCATGTCTGGTTATGAGGCCCTGTCTGTAGTACATGATGGGTTCAGTCTGGTGGTGTTTACCTCTCATTTGCTCCGTAGTTAACAGAGAGGGGACTAATTTCTTCTATATCTTGAAGTTGTCCATTCCCCTCATTGACCAGTACAACAGAATTGGTTTGTAATGTTAAAAATGGGAAAATAGAAACCATTGAAGAAGATGTCAAATAGATAATGTTGGTTGCATATTTTTGTATGAACAATGATAAAAATGTTTTTTTAATTCCCTTTATTTTGCCTTATCAGTGAAACTGCCATGTTTTGGCAGGCGATGGTACATGAAAAGTTTTACAAAAGAAAGTTTAAAATCCAAATGTGAAAAGGTAACCATGACTGAATTACTCTCCTGGGTGTAAAATGCTCTTAGAGTGCCTGTTGAAATCAGCATTATCATTTCCATACTTGTCAAATATGAGTCATTTCCTAGTTTAGGCAAAAATTTCTTTATAAATTTTTAAATCATTCCCTTCTTTCAAGAAAAGGTTAAAGTCCTCATAATTTAATGAGTCTGCTTTATTTCATGTCTGTTTGACTATCAGGAGAAAACTTGTCCTCTCTAATTTGTATAATTCTTTTATTTATTTTTACATAAATTTCCCCCATTCTACATTTTACATTAAAACTATGAAACAGTCATAAAATGTTAGAAAAACTGTATCGATCAGTCATTGGTTCACCTGGCATTTCTTAGTGGATTTGAAGATACCCAGCATTATGAGAATCTGGATTCATTCAAATGAAAATTAGAGTGATTATTTACTCTAAATTGGAGATCTGCATAGGCTTCCTTTAAACTGGACACCAGTTTGAATACATTTAAGGTACTATGAAATTCATAATAATTCATATTATAGATGTTTAAAAAGGAACATGCTCATTCTTTAAAGGGTTTTATAGCGTAGTGGGGAAGATAAGAGATTGGAGTTAGGGATAATTTATTCAGGTAATGCTACTTGGTCATCTTAACAAAACCATTTGACTTAGTTTCCTTATTTATGTGATACGAGGTTTTGGACTAGGTGGTAAAGGGAGGCTTCCATAAATTCCTTCTGAATTCACATAAAAAAAAGTAAGTGGAGTGTGAAATGAGGCACAGTTGAAGTACAAAAAGCCCTTGAGTGGGGCAACTGGGTGGCTCAGTTGGTTAAGCATCGGACTTCTGCTCAGGTCATGATCTCATGGTTTGTGAGTTCAAGCCCCACTTCGGGCAAGCTCTGCCCTTCATCGGGTAAGCCCCTCTTCTATCTCTCTCTCTCTCTCTGTCTCTCCTCTGCTCACTTATGCCCTCTCTCTCACTCTCAAAAAAGAAAGAAAGAAAGAAAGAAAGAAATGGCAAGAAAGAAAGAAAGAAATGGCAAGAAAGAAAGAAAGAAATGGCAAGAAAGAAAGAAATGGAAAGAAAGCTCTTGGGTTGTGTGCGGTTGTCTAGATGGTGACAGAGCCTGCTCTGTGAACTGACTATCTGGCTTTGTGGGTTTCTCTGCTTCCCCATGTTGTCTGGCATTCATAGAGAAACATTTTTTTTGGTAGATTTTCTGGCCAAGATATGGAGAAATGCAGCTTCTAATAACTCTGTCACCATATACCTGCAAATAATATATTTTATGATAAAATGTAACTTGCTGTTGCATTATTATATAGTATATCCAAATTCTGTTTTATTTGGGGATTAGAGATTTCTATCATGCTGGGCCTAAGATAGAACACATAATCGATAATCTGGTTTAGTCTTGTTTCTGATTGCAAGCCTATTAACGTGTATGCATATTTTTACTCACCCTCCAATATGGCCATAAATCAGTGAATTTATATGGGATGTGCATGCATGTGCACATTTGTATATGTGTATGTACAAACAAAACATCCTTTACTCATAAAATAGGCTCAGAAACCAGAATTTAACTTACAAAGGGCTAGTGACATAAAATTAATGAACAGATCTGACCTTACACCTTACCTCAGATGGTTCACTCAGTATCAGCTTTCCATCAGTAAAATAAAAATTTTAATTTCCCAAATTCAGAAAAAAGAAATGAGTTTTAAATAATTAAATCCCTGGGCAAAAAAGATGCCAGGAAGAGGCAGAAATACTGAACACTGAAGGTCTAGTTTCTTAAACAAAAGATGCCCGATGTTATAGTAATGGATCTAACAGCTTTTATTCCAGAACTAGCATTTTGAAGCTTCAACCTGTTGGAAAATGATTAGTTTTTAAATTAATATTCATTCAGGGACTTGAATCTGACACGATTGCCAATTTAAATTTCACTTTGGGGTTTAATATATTGGCTATTTCAAATTATATCAAGCTGAAATTCGTTGTGTCATATTTTTTGTACTAAACCTGGAAAAAATCAATTCAGACTTTTTATTATCAAATGGGGAACACTGATAACATTAGCAAATTTTTTAAAGCTTAGTTTTCATATTGAATCAGCACGTGCTTCTAGTTATTGTGAGAGATCTCTTTTGATTTTCTTTCTCAAAAAAAAGTTTTGAAATAACTGGAGGATTTTACTTCTGCAGTTTGTTATGGGTTGGTAGGTAAGAGAACTTGGAAGTGTGCTCACATTTAGATGCCTAACATTTAAAAGTAAAAACTCAGCCTTTCTTATGAAAATACTATTTTCCCTTAAGCAGTTCCACATATATTATAGGACAGATAGCATCAAAGAATCATCAGTATATAAATCCTTTAGTAATTATGCTAAAATAGAGTAAAACAATTTATAATTTGAAATTGGTGAAATACTGCAACTAGGGAAGCAAGAAATGGCTTAACATTAAGGTTATATGCATTTTCTATGCTCTTTTTGAAGGCTTCTTGATACATTGACGATTCAAGAGCCAAAGATGGTTCTAGCCACGGTAATGTGAAAAAGAGCAGTTCTAATCTAATACAATGAAGGAAAGAATGCATGGTAAATCAAGGTTTTGGAATCAATAGATGAAGAATAGGGGGTTCATAATCGCGGTTTGTTCATGAAATATGTTCTTTTGATTTATGTATTCAATCTGAAAAAGGAAAACTATTGATAGTTCTGAAGAAAAAGAAAATGCAATTTAGCCAACATTTGCGAGAATAGATAAACCAAGTCTCTCAATTAATCTCTGCAGTGTATGCCCATGCGCACACTTTATAAAGGTATTCCCACATCTCTATTGATTGAGGGAACATAGAATGTCCATGCAACCTTATGGAAGCTTTCTCATTCAGTTCAGTAAGCTCTGTATGCTGGAATTCTTACGGGAATACCACCTCAATTCTTATCCCCCAAGTCTCTCAATCCATATTGTTTCTTAATAATTTCCATACCTTTGGGCATGGAGGAGGGCACTTGTGGGGACGAGCACTGGGTGTTATATGGAAACTAACTTGACAATAAACTATTTGTAAAAAAAAAAATTTCCATAGCTTTTACCTATAAGTGTCAGTGCAAATGTTAAACATTGTTTATTTGTGCAAAGCCTTCTTTTGTATCCAGACAGCTGAATGTCTCCTGAGTTAGTTGAATAGTTTTAGTTATCTAAAACTAATTAAATA